AAGATTTTATTTATTTATTTGACAGAGAGAGAGAAAGCGAGAGAAGGAACACAAGCAGGGGGAGTGTGAGAGGGAGAAGCAGGCTTCCCACCGAGCAGGGAGCCCGATGCGGGGCTCGATCCCAGGACCCCGGGATCATGACCTGAGCCGAAGGCAGATGCTTAACAACTGAGCCACCCAGGCGCCCCTGAACCGTTAAGTCTTAATCGCCAGACCAGATGGCCCGGCATATTTGTGAAACTGCCTTGGATTAGAAGTGGGAAGCTTATCCAAAACATGTATTTATCCTAGTCACCTCATAGGCCATTCCATGTGTAGGAAATGCTGTGGAACCAAAGACTCAAGATGGTATAAATTAGTTTACCTTTCAGCAGCTTCACAGTTTGAGAACCTTTGGATGTTTGTCTCCTTTCCGCTCAACAGAGCAGACCTTTCAACTTAGGTTTATGCCAAATATTCTCGATAATTAACGAAGCTGCTGGGGCCAATTCTAGGAAAAAATAACACTTTAGCATCCAAAGTGATGCAATCTGCAATGCTGGCGCCTTTGCTGTGGTTCTTCTTACACAAAGCACCTTATTGACATCACAAAACCACTGCGGGGCTCCTGCTAGTCAGCAAAGGTGCAAAACCACCATGGGCCAGGGAGTTTGCCTCAGCTGAGAATAAAAGCCATGCAGACATACCAGCTGGGGCGAGTTGTTTCTTCTGTCCTTTAGCTAGCTTGCAGGCCAGGATTCCTGCTGTGTGTGTGCAAGCAAATGCAGTCCTTGGCACTCTCCTGGGAAACACAACAGAGTTTTGGCTTTACACCCAATCTAACAAGAAAGAATTTTTCCCCCCCTCCAAACCATTGCCAGGGAGATGAATTCTCATCAGCCCCATATCCGGAGTGGAATCTGGAAAACCCAGTTCAGAACTTTTGAAGAAGCTGCTACAGAGTATTTTAACAACAGATCCTAAAATCTTTTTTTTTTTTTTTTTAAGATTTTATTTATTTGAGAGAGAGAATGGGAGAGAGAGCATGAGAGGGGGGAGGGTCAGAGGGAGAAGCAGACTTCCTGACTTGATCCTGGGACTCCAGGATCATGACCTGAACTGAAGGCAGTTGCTTAACCAGCTGAGCCACCCAGGCGCCCCCAGATCCTAAAATCTTAAAGGGCCATTGATACCCATGAAAGTGAAGCCTGAGAGGCCCTTTAAAAAAATGTGTGTTTGTAATGGATATCCAGTGTAGGAAAATAAAAAAATATTGTTTAAAAAAATAAAGCCCCTTCATGGAATCCCATTTTGTACACTAAATCTTATTTAATGTGGGAAGGAAAACAAATTGAAGAAACCACCTGGACGAATGTTGCTGTAAACTTGAGTTTTACAATGTTTAGAACGTTTAGGGAAGGTAACTTGTCCATACTTTCCTCCTTTATAAAATTGCTAATGCAATACAATCAGCACTGAAGAAAGTTAAACTGTGCACAGCCTTGCAGAAGTTACATAGTTGTCAGATTTTCCTAAGATGGTAAGGCTTGTTTCTTGGTTCATGGCTGGTGTACCTAGCCACACTGCTGATCGTGGCCAGAATCAGGTGATACCTTTATCAAAATCTGTGTATGTGCTTTCTTTCCCAGACACCAAATGGATTGCTTCTGACCCCGAGTCCACTGCTATCCAGCATACATTTCTGGAGCAGCCTTAGTCCAGTTGCTCCACTGAGTCCTGCCCGGTTGCAAGGGCCAAACACGCTGTTCCAGGTGAGCATTTAGAAATGAATGTTTAAACACTGAGCTTCTAAGGGGTGTGTTTCCCCAATAAATACTGCAGAGGTAACAGAGTTCAACCCTACATTTGGTTAAAATGTTAAGTTTCCAAAGGGAGTTAATGGTGCTGCAAAACCCAGCCTTCAGAGGCAGACATTTTTATCAAGGCAGAAATGGCATATTCATGTCAGGTATTGACAAATGGAACAATTAATTCTCGAAGTGCTTGGATATCTTCATTGACTATGAAAACTGGGAAGTTATTAAGGAAAAGGGACTTTAAAAAATTAGGCAACATATTGACATCACTTGAAATAAATTGAAAAAAATAGTGAAGAATGTCCATACTGTAATAGAAAAGTTATCTGTATAATTCTGTGAATCATAATCAAGTTCTCCTTGTTCCATAATAAGAAAGGAGCGTCCAGGGCATTTGGTTAAAAACTAAGTCTTAGCTGCTTTATCTTGCACAGCTCCTGTTACTGGGTGGGTACATTTATTATTCATTCACACACTAGAATCTTGCAGTAGCACTGCTTGCGATCATGTGGTAATCAGTATTTCTTCTTTGAGACGCAAAGACTGTTCCTCACAAAGATGTTACTAAGAGAAAAATAGGAAGGGTCCTAGGGACAGGAGTGAAGCAAAACTGGGGAAAGTGAAAACCCCCTCTAACTCTAGCCTGTCTCATCCACCCTGAATCCCATGCCTGCCCTCCAGTGTGGCTCACCCAAGCTAGTTGTTCTTTTGTTCCTGTTGCATCTAGCACTGACCACTTTGTATTATGATGGCCTGTTCACCTGGCAGTCTCCTCCACTAGACTGTGGGTCCTCAAGAGGCCAGAAGTACATCTTGTTTCTTGTTTACTGTGCTGCCCATCCCCCCACCCCATGTCTGGCCATATTGCTTGGCATACAAATAATGCTTAGTAATTATCACTGACTAAATGAGTGGGTACCTAAGAATTCACCAAGGAATTGGGGCACATGGCTGGCTCAGTTTGTAGAGCACGTGATTCTTTTTTTTTTTTTGAAAGATTTTATTTGACAGAGAGAGACACAGCGAGAGAGGGAACATAAGCAGGGGGAGTGGGAGAGGGAGAAGCAGGCTTCCCACTGAGCAGGAAGCTAGATGTGGGGCTCGATCCCAGGACCCCGGGATCATGACCTGAGCCGAAGGCAGACACTTAACGACTGAGCCACCCAGGCGCCCCTTAGAGCACATGACTGTTGATCACAGGGTCGTGAGTTCGAGCCCCACGTTGGTTGTAGAGGTTACTTTAAAAAAAAAAACAAAATTAAATATTTAAGAACCTAAGTGTTAAAAAGATCAGTTCTCTGTGTTTTGAGTTGGTCATTTTGCTCGTAAAGGTTGGTATTGACCTCCTCTGTGCCAGGAGCTATACATGCTGGGATTTAGGGTCTCGGAAGAAGGGTAGAGCTAAAGAGGTTTTGATTGCTATCTTGCTTCTCTGGTTCCTAGTAAGGTTGAGGTAGGGTTGTCATGATGTGACTGTATATTCCTAGGTAAATCAGGTTTCTCTTCTGGCCCATCTTCTCATCACAAGAAAATTGAGCTATGGTCATGCACAGCCAACCTGTTCTCAGCCCTTTAAACTCCGGCAGGGAAGTAAAAACTAGAAGCAGTGAGCAATGTAGTACTAGGAAAAGTTTTAGGTTAGTATTCTCTTGGTGGAGAGCTGAAAGACCTTATTTCCTCACAGTATTCACAATGGAGCAGCAGTATTCTAGTATTAGAGCTCCTGAGGAGAGCAGTTATTTGGTGCCATGTGTACGGTAAGCTCCATGGGCACAGGGACTGCAATATTACTTTAGTTCTAGAATCTAACAAGGTCTCTGGAAGGTTCACTAGATATTTGTGAATAAAGAATGGAATCTCATGGGGCGCCTGGGTGGCTCAGTTGATTGGGCGACTGCCTTCAGCTCAGGTCATGATCCTGGAATCCCGGGATCGAGTCCCACATCGGGCTCCCGGCTGAGCAGGGAGTCTGCTTCTCCCTCTGACGCTCCTCCCTCTCATGTGCTCTCTCTCTCCCCTCTCATCCTCTCTCTCAAATAAATAAATAAATTTTAAAAATCTTAAAAAAAAAAAAAAAAAGAATGGAATCTCACTTCCCTCCTCACTGGGAATTCTGCCACCTGATTGGTACAAGGCTTGGTGATCTCTCAAGGAAGCCATGGAGAACTGCTGTTAGGGAGTTCTTTGGGATCCCTTGCCGTGGATACTAAACCTTTTCCAGCCTGTCACTCCTCACAGTAATGGTTTGTGTCCATAGTGATGGTGCACATTAGCAGGATATTCGGAGCTCTGGGTGTTGGACACACATACCCTTTTCTCTTCAGTCACTACTGTAGACCACTGGCTCTCAAAGGTAACATGAAAAAGAATCACCTTGGACGGTGTGTTAAAAGATTTTGCTGGGCCCCAACCCCAGAGTTTCTGATTTAGAAGGTGTGGGATGGGGCCCGATTATAACATTTCTTCAAGATCCTAGTGATGCTGTTACTCCAGAAATCTACTTTGGAGAACCACAGCAGACCAGTGGTTCCTAATTTATAATTAGAATTCTTCAGAAGAAATTGCTGCATTTAAAGACCACCTACTCAGAATTTTAATTTCACAATGTACCTGTCCTCTCTACCAGAGCCATTCAAAAACAACAACAAAAACCACAAATGGGAGGTAGGAATGGGGAAAACAATCATGTTTAGATGGTTGTTGGCAGGGCCTTGTGCCCTCTTTCTGTGACTGGGGTCCTTGAAACTAAGGAAAAACAACTTCGTACCTTTTAAATTTTTTTTTTTTAAAGATATTATTTATTTATTGGAGAGAGAGTGAGAGAGAGAGAGCATGAGAGGGGGGAGGGTCAGGAGGGTCAGAGGGAGAAGCAGACTCCCTGCCGAGCAGGGAGCCTGATGTGGGACTCGATTCCGGGACTCCAGGATCACGACCTGAGCCGAAGGCAGTTGCTTAACCAACTGAGCCACCCAGGCGCCCAACTTTGTACCTTTTAAAATACTACTCTTCCTATGTAAGAGCAGTTGTGATAGAAGTTGAAACTAGCAGTTTTGAAAATAGTAAATAAAACATGGTAAGAGGAATATTCAAAATTCAGATTATCAGCAGTGCCCCTTTTGAACTAATAATTTTCTTTAACAATAAACCTTTCATATATACTAGACATGGAGGAAGAAAAGAAACACATTTGGGCTACAATAAGTTTTAAATGATGCTGGCAAATTTCCTGTTGTCAGGATTGAAAAGTAGATCAGAATCCTTTCGGTAAACAGTTGACAGAGCTGAGGAGTTTTTGCACAGAAGGTCCACTGATGTAATTACTGTGGCAAGTTACAGCAGATATCGAAGAATTTAAGGGAAGGAGAGAGAAGATATTAGTGCCTTTCTGGAAGAGGTGTATTTAAAAATAAAATGAGATTGGTCTGAACAGTTTGGCATTTTGAGCTTATCTACAGGGTGTCTGTTCCACTTCTGAAACAGATTTTCATCAAATTTGGCATAGGTACAGATAATATCTTGAAACAAGGCAGGATTAAGTTTTTTTTTTTTAAGATTTATTTACTTGACAGAGAGCCAGAGAGCACAAGCAGGGTGAATGGCAGAGGGAGAAGGAGGCTCCCCACTGAGCAGGGAGCTCTCCATGGGGCTCAATCCCAGGACCCTAGGATCATGACCTGAGCTGAAGGCAGACGCCCAACCGACTGAGGCACCCAGAATTAAGTTTTCAATTGAGGATGTTTTCTGAATGTTTTAATTCAACAAATCTAACCCAGAAAATATTTGCAATGCTCTGTTATCAGGGACTGTAGGAGAATATACACTATGGGAATAACAGATATATAAACAAAATGTTATAGGAACCCAACAGGGTATAGCTTTCTAGCTAGGGACTAGATGAAGGCTCCGCTGGAAGAAGTGGCACCTGAGCTGGGAAGGACGGACAGGATTTTGGCAGAGAGAAAAGCACGTTCTAGATAATCTCCATGATTTGGATATGCAAGTACATAGTCTGTCCAGGAAGGGACTGGGTGATTAGAAAAGCAGCTGTAGGTCTTGAATGCTATGCTCAGGGTTTTCCACCTTAGTCTCTTGACAACCATGGAAGGTTTTCTAAGCTGGATATAAAAGAACAGATTTAATTATACTATTTTTTTAGATTTTTAAATTTATTTGAGAGAGGAAGAAGCAGACTCCCCACTGAGCAGGGGGCCTGACACACCTTGGGATCATGACCTGAGCAGAAAGCAGATGCTTAACCGACTGAGCCACCCAGGCACCCCTAAAATCTCTATTTTAGGAAGATATTGCTGACACCAGTGTGGAGGAAGGACTGAAGAGAAAGCAGAAAGTATAAGGTGCAGGAAGATAGGAGGAATATTTATACTACTGCAAATACTGAGGGAAAAATCATCTTTTAGAATAGTAGAAATAGGAATATATTTAGAAGATATTCCAGACGTAAAATTGAGAGAAGGACTTTTAGTTGGGTTTGAGGAGTAAGAGGTAAAATTAGGAAGTGGCAAAGATTACTTATGTGATTAAAAGACTAGAAATACTATAAGTAAGAAGTTAACATTTATTGAGGGCTACTGTATGCTAGATGTTGTTCAAAGCACTTTTCATGGCTTCTCATTTAATACAGTTGACCCTTGAACAATGTGGGGATTCGGGGTGCTGACCTCCCCCTTACAGTTGAAAATCCATGTATGACTTTTGACTCTTCAAAAACTTAATTACTAATAGCCTAATGTTGACCAGAAACCTTTCTGATAACAGTTGATTAACACATATTTTGCATGTTATATGTATTATTATGCTGTATTCTTATAATAAAGTAAGCTAGGGAAAAGAAAATCGCAAGGAAAATATATTTGTAGTACTATACTGTGTTTATTGAAAAAAATCTGCACATCTGTGTTGCTCAAGAGTCAACTGTACTCCCAATAGTTCTTTTTGAAAAGATAAGGAAACTAAGGCCCAGAGATGTTGCTCAGTTTACCCAAGACCACACGTTAGTAAGTGGCAGAACCCTGACTGAAGTTTAGGGTCCTGCTCATATCACCACTCTCACCGACTTAAGAGTGAACACGGAATAGCAGGTTTTTGGTGAAGACGCATTGATGGGGATCTAGCTGACAGCAGGAAAGGATTGTTGAGTCCAGTATAGGAGAAAGGAAGGCTGAAAACAAAACTTTGGGGGGAACATTGCAACTTAAGCGAGTGAAGGTGGGGAGTCAATAAAGATGAAACAGGCCAGAAAAGCCAGGCAAGAGAAACTACAACAGAGTGTATAGAAATAAAGAGCAGAGGGCAGAAATCAATAATATACTTTTTAAAACAGGAAGATTAACAAAACCAAAAGCTGCTTCTTTTGAAAACACCAATAAGATGGACAAAAAATAAAATGAGAAAAGATTGCAAATAAGCTAAGAGAATGAAAATTCAAAACCTGCTCTTCATTCTGTGTTCACTCTTAAGTCAATGGGAATAGTAGTTAGGAGCGTGGATCTTAAAAGAGTATAAACTATATGCAAATAGATTTGATAACCCAGTTGAAATGGATAAAATTCTACAAACAACTAAAGTTCCAAAGTGTCAGAAAAGAAACAAAAACCTTGAATATGCCAATGACCATTAAAGAAACTGAAATAGTATTTAAAGAGCATACTTACACCAAGCCCTGCCAAAAATAAGTTGGGCAGTTTGGTACAAAAAGCGCAGGATCTTTCAGAGTTTAAAACTTGGCTTTACTGCCTACTAGTCTTTAACCAATCAGAACTTACTTGAAATGTTTTCTATAAAATGGGGATAACCAAACTTACTTTACAGGCTTCTAGATACCAACTGAAATGACAACCACTGATAAACTGGAAGGCACTACACATAACAGTTATTGAAATAGTTTGAAAATTGAAAAAATATATTCTGTATTTATTGTACTTCTAACTTGTGCTAGGCTCTGTAGTTTGATATTTAGTGTTGCAATTGAATATTAACTTATCTAAATAGAAATTAAACTGGAAGATAGCCCAGGAGAACATTTTGACACATATCAATCTAGACAACAAAAATCTAGTTGTGAATAGTAATGTATTAAAAGGAGGTCTTTAATTATTCTTGTTGAGTTGGGAGTATAGTGTGGTATTTTTTTAGACCTGAAAGTTATCAAAGCATATACTTTTATCCCATTTATCATCTTACTTACCCACACTACAGAAATTAACTTTACTCTTTGTTTTGTCACTTAAAGGTGATCTGTTAAGTTTGGTATTATCATTGTAATTAAAAAAAATATTTCCTCAGCTCCAAGATACATTCTTGCTTTCTAAATCTTTTAAGCTAAAACATTCTTCATTTTTAGCAGTTACTGAGAAGCATTTTTTATACTCTAGAAAAACAATGGCCATTTTCAAAATACGGTATTAGAAATTTTACATGTGAATCAGTAGAGTCAGTTGTCTGTGGTTTTCAAAATTACTTTAAGCAAATCAACATTCTAAGTAGCTTGGAACCTTTTAAAAGGAGTATTTGAACATGCTTTAGCACCACAGGTACATTTTTTTCTAGTGGCTAGGCATATAAAATAGGGACATTTTCTGGGCCTTCTCCCTTGTTTGCTATATGTAATCTTGAGCTCATTCTGTAAAATAATTTGCAACCCCTCTGTCCCAAGGGTAATCCACTATAGTCTGTCTAGGAATGTAAAGAATTCAAGTTTGTCCCAATGGGTCTGCAATAATTATTTTAAAAATCTTCTGTCCCCTACAGTTTCCAACACTGCTTAACGGCCACATGCCAGTGCCAATCCCCAGTCTGGATAGAGCTGCTTCTCCAGTACTGCTTTCTTCGAACTCTCAGAAATCCTGATGACATCTGGCCACAGTTAAAGACTTATTAACTGATGAAATAAATTTGTCCCCATGGGCTAGTTTACCTGTGTCATGAGAAGGACGTTGTGAAACCCTGTTAATTTGGTTTGCACTTTTCATAACATGGATGGTCTAGATTTATGTTAGCATTTTTAAAACCTTTTTTTATATTCAAGTATATATGAAGATCTGTTTGGCATTAAGTGATTTTTTAATGTTTTTGTTTTTATATCCTCTTAGCTCTTAAGTGTTGAACACTGTTGACAGTGAAGAACTTTTCTTAATGGTTTTCAGTGTAACTAATAAGGATGTGAAGCTTTTCTTTCTAATTCCGCATATGCTGAACTATGCTTATAGACACTATAACCAGCTGTGCCTTCCTTTGCATTTAGTTTTATGTAAATGGTTTATATATTTTTTAGTATTAAGAGAAAATGTTTGGAAGACAAAAATTAGTATCAAACAGCTCTCTAGTAGAATCATTATTTTTCACAAGTAGGCAAAATGAAAGCTTATTCATATTTTTCTTTTTCGCTTTCAATTGTATAAGAATTGCCTTAGAACCTCTTTTGAACTGAAGTTCAGTAAATGTCCAATTTCATGTTTTTATAAAAGAAACTAAGCCATATTTAGAAAATAAACATTCACAAAAGAAAATGTTCTAAAGTGCATTTTTTAAAAAATGAAGTTTGAAAGGCTAGCCACCTAGCTGTTTACAATCTTTTAGACTCCTCCCAAACAAAAACCTGAGATGGAAATCTACATCAAGTTCACTCTACCCATTCCCTTGGAATATATCCTATGTAAGCATATTCTTATTTCAAAAAATTAGCTGTGGTTCTCCCAGTTTTCCATAGCAAATCACACCCCTGATACATTTCCTGTATCATCATGAGTTAGGGTTTCACTAAACCCCTAGAACTATAATTAACATTTAAACATCCTATGGTTAGGAAGAGGCTCACAGACTGGTTGATGAACACAACAATTCTGTAACATCAGGTATCTTCAGGTGTATAAGGCATAGCCTTGTTTGTGGAAACAGAGGCAGGATACACTGCTTTATGTATTAACTAAGTTTATAGTGAGAATGAAGGAAATTGGATATAAGAAATATGTAACTCTTCAGGAACCTCATTGTGGAACTGAACTACATTTGGAGCACTCAGTAGTAAATTCTTTTGCGTAGTGTAAAGCAGTGGTAACAGAAACAGCAGGGGCCACTCTTAAGGCATTGTTCTGTACATGAAGTAGGAAAGTTCTAATGTGAAGAGACCTGGAAAGTGCCCAGTGCTTTCAAGATCAGATTATCACCCTTAACTGTAAGTAACAAACCAATTTGAAATGTGGCCAAATAACTGATTCCACAGGTGTTAAATGGCAAAATTATGAAAAAGGTGTAAAAAACAAAGCTTGTAAAAGCAAACATCTCTTGAATTTTCGAAGAATCTAAAACTTTGTTATAATGCTTAAAATCTTGAGATTTTTCCAGTGGAATTAAGTGTCTGTGTATGGGGATGTACAAATCTATAATATACACTTTTGGATATAAAGTAAATTCCAAAATCCAGACACTAGTGTCACTTCCACATAAACTGAGGATAATTCTGTACTAAAATAAAATAGCTGGTACAGGGAACTAATATTTACCAAACATGAAATGTTAAAGGTAGAGGGGGCCTTTGAGAATGCTCCTTACCACGGTTTCCAGATAAGGCAATTACACAGAAGCAACTGGGAGTTGCCTAAGGTCACACAGCTCATTAAAGGTAGAACAAATGATTGGTGCTCAGTCCAGTTCTATTTTCCCATGCCTAACTATAAGTAACTACTGGCCCAAATCTGTTAGGTAGAAAAAAAAGATAAACCCAAGGAAGTTAATCAATGTACAAAAATCTCAACCCAAAATATTTTTAAATGTATATGCTGATTGGAAATACTCTAATGACTATAAATCTGATTCTTGTATTTCCTTCCTTGAAATACTATGATTGACATACATTCTAGCTCCGTTTTTAGAAATGGAAAAACGCCATACATTTTATGGATCAAAAAACTCACTAGGACACAGATACAGAACTGGAGGTATTGAAGTATAACTCTTATAGCTCTGCCTCATTGTGTGTGTGTGTGTGTGTGTGTGTTTTAACAATTTTAGTCAGAAAATAGGTTTCAAAGGACATATTAAATAACTTTTTTTCCTTTTTATATGTCTGTTTCATCAGTGTTAATCTGCTATGGCTAAGGTTTTATAGAACTATAACCTAAATGTTGTTCTCTTTGTACACATCTTTTCTATGATGCATATCTTCATTCACGTTCATATATGTATCAATTTTATTATATTATTTTTGTTCAATAAATACTTTGTGATAAAAGGTGTGAGGAGGCAAGTGGGTTGGTTTACTTCCATTTACTTGGGATGATCCAAATTTTACTTCTCTATATGGGTACAAGTTAGAAAATAAGTCTTGTCATCTAGCCTTAAATATGATACATCAAAACATATTATATATATATATATATATATATATATAAAATCTCCTTTAAAAAGATATTTAAGGAAACAGAATTACTGAGGTTGACTTAGGGGATGGGGTGGGGGGAGAATGGGTTTGAAAAGTTGGTCCTCTGATCTTTTAAATCTTAAGGTCTACCAATCATTCTATATTGAAATAGGGGTAGGTGAGGAGGAAGAGAAGAAACAAATTATCATTTATTCTTTCAGCTGCAACTAACACCATACTCAGTGGTGAAAGACTGAAAGTGTTTTCCCTAATATAAAGAACATGTTGCCAATTCTACTTCAACAACAGGACTGAAAGTCCTAACCAAAGTAATTAGGCAAAAAAAAAAAAAAAGAAATTCAAATAATAAAGAAAGTAAAGCTATCTCTATTCATAGATGACATGGTCTTATATGTAGAAAACCTTAAAGAATCCACAAAAAAAGTTAATAAAGTCAGCAAAATTATAGGATACAAAATCAACACAAAAATCATTTCTATTTCTACACACTAGCAAATGAAAAACTCAAAAAAGAAATTTAGAAAATAATTCCACCTACAATAACATCAAAAAGAATAAAATACTTAGGAATGAATTTAAGGAGGCACAAGACTTGTACACTGAAAAACTACAAAACATTGCTTAAAAAAATTAAAGCTATCCTGCATTCATGGACTGGAAATCCCAATACTCACAAAGAATCTACAGATTCAGGGTGCCTGGGTGGCTCAGATGGCTGGGCATCTGCCTTCGGCTCAGGTCATGATCCTGGGGTCCTGGGATCGAGTCCCGCATCGGGCTCCCTGCTCCTCAGGGAGGCTGCTTCTCCCTCTACCTCTCTCTCATGAATAAATAAAAAAAAATCTTAAAAAAAGGGGCGCCTGGGTGGCTCAGTCGTTAAGCGTCTGCCTTCGGCTCAGGTCATGATCCCAGGGTCCTGGGATCGAGCCCCCACATCGGGCTCCCTGCTCCGCAGGAGGCCTGCTTCTCCCTCTCCCACTCACCCTGCTTGTGTTCCCTCTCTTGCTGTGTCTCTGTCAAATAAATAAATCTTAAAAAAAAAAGAATCTACAGATTCAATGCAATTCCTATCATAATCCTAATGGCATATTTCCTGAGAAATAGAAAAACCCCATCTTAAAGTTCAAATGGAATTTCAAGGGACCCTGAATAGCCAAAACAATCATGAAAAAGAAGAACAAAGTTGGAGGACTCCTTGATTTCCAAACTTACAAAGCTACACTAGTAATCAAAACATTGTGGTACTGGCAGAAAAAGAGAAATGCAGACCGATAAAACAGAATCAAGAGCCCCAAAATAAACTCTCACATTTATGGCCAATTGATTTGTAACCAATTTAGGTTGCCAAGGTGCCAAGACCATTTTGAGAAATGGACAGTCTTTTTAACAAACAGTGTTGGGAAAACTAGAGATTCACATGCAAAAGAATATAGTTAGATCCTCACTTTACATCACATAGAAAAATTAACCCAGGGTGCCTGGGTGGCTCAGCTCATTAAGCGGCTGCCTTCGGCTCAGGTCATGATCCCGGGGTCCTGGGTTCAAGGCCCACGTCCAGCTCCCTGCTCAGCGGAGAGCCTGCTTCTCCCTCTCCCTCTGCCTACTTGTGCTGTCAAATAAATAAAATCTTTAAAAAAAAAAAAAATTAACCCAAGATGGACCAAAAATTAAGATGGATTACCTAAATGTAATAAGCATTAAAATGATAAAACTCTTAAACAGGGGAAAATATTCATGACCTTAAATTTGGCAGTTTCTTAAATATGCCACCAAGACCAGAAGTAAAAAAAAAAAAAAAAAAAATATGGTGGATGTCATTAAAATGAGCAATTTTATGTATTAAAAGGACACCACCAAGAAAGTAAAAGACAACCCACAGAATGGAAAAAAATAACTGCAAGTCATATACCTCGTATGTGTCTAATATATAGAATATATAAAGAGGAGCGCCTCGGTGCCTCGGTTAAGCTTCTGACTTGATTTCAGCTCAGGTCATGATGTCATGGTCATGAGATCGAGCCTCTCATCGGGCTCCGTGCTCAGCAGGGAGTCTGCTTGGGATTCTCTCCCTCTCCCTCTGCCCCTCCCTCCTCCCTACTCGTGTGCACTCTAAAATAAAAAAAAAAAAATGAATATGTAAAGAACTACAGCTTAAAACAACCCAACTCAGCAACAACAGTTTAAAAATGGGGAAAGGACTTGAACAGACTCTTCTCCAAACCAGATATACAAATGGCCAACAAGCACATTTAAAGATGCTCAATATCCTACTCACTAGGGAAATGCAAATCAAAACCACAATGAGCTACCATGTCATAAGTATTAAAATGAGTATAATTTTTTTAAAAATGGAAAATAAGTGTTGGTGAGGATGAGAAATTAGAACTTTCATACATTACTGCTGGGAATGTAAAATGCTGCAGTTGCCATGGACAATCATTTGATGGTTCCTCAAAAAGGTAAACATAGAATTACTAAATGACCCAACAATTCAACTCCTAGGTATATAAACTCAAAGAATTGAAAACAAGGACCCAAAGAGATGCTTGTACACCCATGTTCATGGCAGCATTATTCACAAAAGCCAAGAAGTGGAAAAAAAGCTCATGTGAAATCAACAGATAAATGTTTTTTTTTTTTTTTAAAGATTTTATTTATTTATTTGAGACAGAGAGAATGAGAGAGAGCACATGAGAGAGGGGAGGGTCAGAGGGAGAAGCAGACCCCCCGCCAAGCAGGGAGCCCGATGCGGGACTCGATCCAGGGACTCCAGGATCATGACCTGAGCCGAAGGCAGACGCTTAACCAACTGAGCCACCCAGGCGCCCCCAACAGATAAATGTTTAAACAAAATGTACATTTGAAGAATATTATTCAGCCATGAAAAGAAATAAAATTCTGATACATGCTACAACATGGATAAAACTTGAAAACATCATTCTAAGTGAATGAAATAAGCCAGACACCACTATGGTAAAACGCCACTTACATGAAATACCTACAATAGGCAAGTTCAGACACAAGAAGTACAGGCATACCAGGGGTGCCTGGCTGGCTCAGTTGGAAGGGCATGCGACTCTTGATCTCAGCGTTGTGATTTCAAGCCCCATGTTGGGCGTAGAGATATACTTAAGTAAATAAATAAAAACTTAAAAGAAAAATTAGACATACCTTGGAGATATTGCACGTTCAGTTCCAGACCATTGCAATAAAGCAAATACCATTAATAAAGTGAGCCAAATAAATTTTTTGGTTTCCTAGTACATATAAAAATTATGTTTATGCTATACTGCAGTCTATTAAGTGTGCAATAACACTAAGTACATACTTTTGTGAAAAAAAATTCTTTATTGTTAAAAAAAATGCTAACCCGTCTGAGCTTTCAGTGTGTCACAGTCCTTTTGCTGGTGGAGGGTCTTGCCTTGATGTTGATAACTGCTGACTGATCAGGGTAGTAGTTGCTGAAGGCTGGAGTGGCTGTGGAAATTTCTTAAAATAAGACAATGAAGTCTGCGGAAATGATGGAAGAGTCCTTTCATGCTATTTGATAGCAATTTACCCACAGAACTTCTTTCAAATTGGAGTCATCTTAAACCCTGATACTGCTTTATCAACTAAGTTTATTTATGTGATATTCTAAATCTTTTGCTGTCATTTCAACAATCTTCACAGCATCTTTACCAGGAGTAGATTCCATTTCAAGAAACCCCTTTGCTCATCCATAAGAAGCAACTTCTTATCATTACAAGTTCTATCATGAAATTGCAGCAATTCAGTCACATCTTCAGGCTCCACTTCTAATTCTAGTTCTCTTACTATTTCCACCACATCTGCAGTTACTTCTGCTCAAGTCTTGGAATTAGCTTCTTCCAAATTCCTGTTAATGTTGATATTCTGGCCTCTTCCCATGAATCATACATGTTGTTAATGGCACTTAGAATGGTGAATCCTTTCCAGAAGTTTTCAATTTACTTTGCCCAGATCCATCAGAGGAATCACTACTATGGCAGCTATAGCTTTTGAGATGTATTTTTTTTTTTTTTTTAAAGATTTTACTTATTTGAGAGAGGGAGAGGGAGAAGCAGACTCCCTGCCGAGCAGGGAGCCCGATGCGGGGCTTGATCCCAGGACTCTGGGATCATGACCTGAGCCGAAGGCAGCCACTTAACCGACTGAGCCACCCAGGTACCCCATGAGATGTTTTTCTTAAAGAATAAGACTTGAAAGTCAAAACTACTCCTTGATCTACGGGCTCCAGAGCAGATGTTGTGTTAGCAGGCATGAAAACAAGATTGGTCTTGGTTGTCCATCTCCATCAGAGATCCTGGGTGATCAGGTGCATTGTCAATGAACAATAATATTTTGAAAACCTTTTTCCTGAACAGTAGGCTTAAAATATTCAGTAAATCATGCTATAAAGAGATGTGCTCTCATCCAGGCTTTGTTGTTTCACTGACAGAGCACAGGGAGAGTAGATTTAGCATAATTCTTAAGGGTCTTAGGGTTTTCAGTATGGTCAATGAGCACTGACTTCAACTTATAGTCATCAGCTGCATTAGTCTCTAATAAGAGAGTCTATTTTTTTTTAAGATTTTTATTTATTTATTTGAGACAGAGAGAATGAGAGACAGAGAGCATGAGAGGGAGGAGCAGACTCCCTGCCGAGCAGGGAGCCTGATGCGGGACTCGATCCCGGGACTCCAGGATCATGACCTGAGCCGAAGGCAGTCGCTTAACCAACTGAGCCACCCAGGCGCCCCGAGTCTATTTTTTGTTTTTAATCATCAGCTGCATTAGTCTCTAATAAGAGTCTCTATTTTTTTTTTTTTTTTTAAGATTTATTTATTTCAGG